TATTGAAGTAGAAAACAAAATGGCCCATAATTCTACCACCCAGATAGCCCTGTTGATGTTTTTAAAAGGTAAAATAAGTTATTACTAGAAAATGGAAAGAAACCTCTGACCACGGTGACCATATTCCTAAGATAACCACTGTTCTACTGTGAGTTTATTGCCTATATTTGTAGACTAAAAAAGTATATGAGCCAACATTTGCATATCAATTTAATGAAAAATTTTCATAATATGAAAAGGTTTAACTTTTTGGGTAACTGTAGCTAGCCTTGCTTTTCAAACCCTTCTTTCCTAGTGGGGAGTAAGTTCCCTTAAAGACTCTTTCATAGCTTTTCTTCAGTCTTTGTTTCATAACTATCAACTAATTTTAACCATTAAAAAATCATTTAATGCTGCCCTCTTCATTTTAAATGTTAAGTGTTCGCCTCCCCTCACCACAAGGCTTTGGAAGTGGTGGGGAGGGGGATGGGAGAGGAAGATTATTTTCTCTTTCATATGTATCCTTTCTACATACCTAGGGCCTTTTTTTCACTAGATCTTTTGGTGTACAGCCTGATGGTAACAATTGTCAGGTTTTTGTTTGCTTGGGTTTTATTTGGGTGGGTGGGTGGATTGGTTGGTTGGTTTGGTGTTTGTAAATATTAGTGGCCTCCAGAGATTAGCGGTAGGAGCTGTATACCCCCTCTGTTATATCCTTGCCACTGAGTATGTTAAAATGAAAGCACAAGCGGTTGCCCAATTCTGCCAAATGTGCAAATATTTATTAGGAAGAAGATATACATAGATACAAATAAACAGTCTCCTGCCATGTTCTTGTAGCTCAGAGAAAGCTACACTGCCCTCAAGCCATTCTTAGAACCTGCTGCCTCAAGGCTACAATGTGGCCCTCCAGATCCCCAAATGCAGAATCCAAACTTCACAGAACAAATCCCTTTATTAAAAGGATTTGTTCTATAAAATTTGGATTCAGTCAAAAGGCTGCAATAAAGGATCTAGAAGACCACATATGGCCCCAAGGCCGCAGGTTCCCCACCCAGGCCCCTCTGACCCATCTTTGCCTCTCACTTCACCAATAAAAAGCCATTTTCTATCATTCCTTAATAATAACAAATTCTCTGGTGTAGATTTTAATAGTCACTGTATTTGAAGTGCTGAACACCTCTGAATGTTGATTCCTGATTAGAGTACTTCAAATATCTCACCCCTGGGAGGAGGGCTGATTTTCAATACTTCAAATACAATTAACCATCCCTAGTGTATAGACTAAATTTAGATAATATACATACACAGGCCCAGCACACTGTTTAGACTTATCTACTTTAAAAGTAAATTTCCATACAAGCAACAAATGAGAGAATTTTTAAATTGGCAGGGACTATTCATTTCATAGATGAAAAATTTTAAGAATAGATTCAATAGTGTGGTTAGTGTCATAAGAGAACTAATGCTATGCTCTTCTAGAAATTTCCTGGCTCTGTATACTAATAACATTTTGTCAAGTTTCACCAAAAATTAAAATATTTTAATTTAAATTGTATTGAATTTATAGGTTAAGTTAGGGACATTTGAGGTGCGCTTTCAAAATTTCATGTGATAAAAAAATCTAAAATAGCAAGAGCATTTTTCCTACCTATCATTTGCTGTTCCCCCACCCAAAAAGGAAAAAAAGGTTCATTCTCAAAGTTCAAGCTATCAAATAGGGTTACTTCCCTAAGCTTATCTTCCTCTGTGATCTCCCCCTACTCTCTGGTTCCCTGGAGCTTCCGATTTTGGTCCTCTGGCAAGAAAGCTGGGGCTTTGGTTACCCTGGTCTGTCATGTACTGTGCCTGCCTCTGGGGCCAGGCGATGGGGAAGATACGAGAGGTGAAGCGATGGGGTTCACCTCTCGTGGGACCACAGTTCCTCCAGTCTTCGAGGAAAGTTGCCCTCCTCGGAGTTTAGGATCCTGGGGACTTCCCTTGCCTTACCTCTGCTGCCAGCATGAGATTCCTTGTGGCCTGGGGAACAAGGGAACAGAGGAAAAGAAAAAGGAAAATAAAGAAAAATGGGGGGGTTACTCACTGTCTCTTATATTAGAGTTCTCTTTCCTGTTCTTCCTTGAGACAGCACTAATGGCCTTCTTCTGGGGCTCTGTCTGCCCCCTGGTGTCCACTTTCAGGTTTTGGGCTGACTAAGTTCAGGCTAGGGGAATACCAGAGGGGAAAAAGTGGCAAACTCACCACTGGTTTGGAGATACTTCAAATTCTGGTCTTCTTCCCCTTTCTGCCTATTACTATTTACTTTTCAGAGTCCTCAAATACCTGCTTCATATGTTCTGTCCAGGTTTTGGAGCTACTTTCATGGGAGAGGCAGAGTATGGAGTGTATTTATTACATCTTACTTGGAACCAGCACCAAAAATAACTTTTTCTGAGAAGCAAAACTGAGCCTATCAATAGGGACCTAATATATTATAAAATATCCATTTAATGGGAATACTATGTAACTATTGTGAAGAATGAAATTACTCCATGCTGATATGGAATGGTTGTCAAATGTATTGTTAAATAGACAGCTTTAGACTAACATATTTATATTTATAAATATATTTATGCTTATGGGTACATGAAATAATTCTAGGAATATACAAAAGTTGGTAATGGTGGTTTTGAGGAAGAACTAGAGGACTGGGAGACAGGGAGACTGACATACCTATGTGCCATTTGCATGTATTATCAATTATGGTCCATCAGGCTGCTCTATACTCTTCAAGGAGGCCTGGTGACACATTGAGAAATAAACTAAGGAAGGAGATAACTGGGGTGCAGCAACTTTTTCATTTTATGGAAATAGAGGGCCTTTCGAGCGTTGCTTCAGTCCTTGTTCCAGGCTAAATGCTATACTAGCCAGCAGTTCTTGGCTTCTCTGACCCCAAATGTTAAGGTACTAGTTTTAGGGCATGCCTTCATGAAGAGCTAGGGAGGTTTCAGACAGCCTCAGCCATCCATTTGTATTCTTTCATTCTATGAATTTTTTGTTTATCAGTTCCACTGTGAACTGAAGGAAAGAAATTTAGTTGAAGGCTGATCTTTGAACTTTGACTATCCTATATATATTTTATGTGTATATAATATCCTGTGTGTATGTGCATTTTTTAAATGTACCGTTTTTAGATATATACCAATACCTGATTCCTTGAAAATTATTTTGGGCATGTATTTTTATTCCTAGACTAATTCACCTAAATAAGATTGATCCCCGTGCCCCAAATGAAATGCTCTATGGACGAATGGGCTACATCTCTGCTCTTCTTTTTGTCAATAAGAACTTTGGAGTGGAAAAGATTCCTCAAAGCCACATCCAGCAGGTACCACATTTTTATGCTTTTTAGGATCCCACTTACTTACTCTACTCTCTGCCTAAACTATTGTTTTTGTCTCTCAAGTTAGTACATCCCAAGTAGGAAGAAGGTGGATCTTGACTGCTAAAGGTCAGGTACGATCAGAGAACCAACAGCTTCACACTGAATGCTGCTGGAAACACTTCTGACTCAGAGTCAGAAGCCCAGCCTGCCCCATTTGAAGTGGAACAGAAGAATCTCTTTTCAGAAGATTAGGGCCAGATTTCACCTCCCAAATACTGATATCTCCTTTTGTACCTAGAGGAGTTTGTGCTTTCTTTTGACTGGTGCATTGTTATAAGCTGTAGTGCAAAGAGTTCAAGATCCTCCATCCTTCCCTCTTTTAGACAGAATATAGTTGCACCCACTTACCTGATGCAGAATTAAAACGTGACCTTCCCTGGCCAAAAGATGATGTCTAACTTGCCATGTTGCCCGGTATCTCTTAGCACAAAATTCTTTACCTCCACTAGAAAGGCTTTTATTCTAATTATCTTGTCATTTTGGTCTGCTTTCTCCCTATAGATTTGTGAAACAGTTTTAACCTCTGGAGAAAACCTAGCTAGAAAGAGAAACTTCACAGCAAAGACTCCACTGATGTATGAATGGTACCAGGAATATTATGTGGGGGCTGCTCATGGCCTGGCAGGAATTTATTACTACCTGATGCAGGTAAGGGGTGATTAAGGTGAGACTTTATAATGTGCTTCCTGACCGATGTTCTATCTTACGTGAGAAAAGAGATGTTCTAGTTCTATTTTATCATTCTGTACCACTGCATCAGTCTCCTTGTAACTGCTCAACCTAGGTAAACATAGAAAATGTTGCCAAGGTGGATTTTAAAGTATATATATGTAAAAAGCCCTGTGTTTTGAGATGACATTTGATTTGTAGGTTACCATACTTACCTACCTAGTGCCCCTGGTGCAGGCTAAAGTATTTTGACCTATAATTCTGTATGAAGTGCCTTCTGCCTTTGTCTTTTTCAGCAAATTCCTTATATTAAGAATATTATTCCACATTAAAAGGCATAACCTATAGAAAGAAATTCCAGGAATAAAAACAAACTCAATAAAAAACAAATGAGCACATGTTGCCTAAATCTTACTTAGAGAGGAAAACTGAGGTGACTGTTCAATGGATTGTGTAACTTACCTGAGAAATAGCTGAATATTCAACAGTTCTTAGGATCTAATACTATTGGGGCACATCAACCAAAGTCAAATAAACTAAAGACAAATAGAATTTTCTGCAGCAAACATGACTTGGGAGAGGGGGTCAGAAGAGGACTTCTCATGAGAGCATTATTTTGGGGGACATATTAAGCATTTCTTAAGGAGAAATTAGCACTTGTGAATAAGAATTCATGAAAAAGAAAATTGATTTTTAACAGTAGCAGAGGTACCCCCCACCTTCCCAAAGCACAGTGTGGCATAAAGAAAAGTGTTTTATTAATACGTTCAGCATGAGTGCTTGGATAAACACCCTACCAGCTGGTTGAGTAGCTGGCTCTAATAATACAAAATGAATGTCAGACTTCCCCTCTCCCTGAAACTAAACAAGGACAACAAAGCTGAAAAACTCAAGGTTATTATTGCTTTGGAATGCAAAGTCACACTTTGAGTGTTAGTGGCAATCAGAGACCAACTGTTTTATTTACTCTGTACTTCTCAATTAGAAGTTTTATAATTAGAGTTTTTAACAATTTAAACTTAAATTTCTTTATTTTTCTGGCACATTCCTTCAATGGCTCTCTATTTCTAGTGGTAAATATAGATTCTTAGAAGTTCTCAGGGAAAGTGTCTTTTGAAGTTTCAAGGTGAGTTAGAATCTTAAATGTCAGTGACCAGACAGCCTCCTTGACCTTCCATTGAAACAAATAATCAGGAGACATACTCTGCCTCCTTTTGTTAGCTGTAATAAGAAATCTGAAAACCCAAGTATTGATTTTTCCATTTGCAGGTTATTATCTATTTGAAATGATTTAATTTTAAATCCCAGAAGTGCATTCTAATAGTTTCCTATGTATCAACATAAAATAAAACATTATTTTTAGGCCATGTTGGATAATTCCTGCAAGTTTGAGGAGAATACGTTCATTCTACTCTAACACTTTAAACCGAGCTTGAACACTATTCTTTGTGTAAAGTGGAATCTGTACATCCCATAAAGAACTCAGTGCACTTTCAGAATCTTGTGAAAGCCGTATCACCAATATCACTTCAATCCCACCAGCACGTGCTTCACACCACTGCCCACCCCTCACCCCCACATGCCCCACCCCCTGCCTGGCAAAACAACAACTTTGAATTTGTTGTGTAAAGAAGTGAGCAGTCATTGATTAAAAACAGGACCAAAAGGAGAAACTTAAAAAATGGTATCAAAAATGGCAGCTCATGGCCGGGCGCGGTGGCTCACGCCTGTAATCCTAGCTCTCTGGGAGGCCGAGGCAGGCAGATTGTTTGAGCTCAGGAGTTCGAAACCAGCCTGAGCAAGAGCGAGACCCCGTCTCTACCAAAAATAGAAAGAAATTAATTGGACAGCTAAAAATATATATAGAAAAAATTAGCCGGGCATGGTGGCGCATGCCTGTAGTCCCAGCTACTCGGGAGGCTGAGGCAGAAGGATCGCTTGAGCCCAGGAGTTTGAGGTTGCTGTGAGCTAGGCTAATGCCAAGGCACTCACTCTAGCCCGGGCAACAGAGTGAGACTCTGTCTCAAAAAAAAAAAAAAGGCAGTTCATATGCTCTATGACAGTGGGTCCTATAAATCTGGACATTCTTACATCAAAATAATCTTGCATTTAGATCAGTTGCAAGTCTTCTGCAGAAAAACTTGATCTAGAATCATGCTGTAGTTCCGGGTCTAGATTCCAGGTCTCCTAACATGTCAGTGTCCTCTTCTATTGGAAATATCACCTACTACTTCTCTAAATGTAATTACAAAAGTCATGTGTGGTTTGTCTTGTGCATTTCTTTGTGTCTTTTAAGGCATGCTTTATGTATTGAAACCTTAGGAAACCTCTTACACTCACATTCTCAAGCTTCGACTTGGGAAAATTACTTGTATGTATGTAGATAATACCAAATATTTAAAAATAATACAGAAGGCCCCAAGAGTTAACGGATAGCCCTGTTTCACTTTGTTCCATTATTTAAAATATTAAAATGAAATCACAAAAGATTATAATAAAAGCATCCATAATCTGTGCTGGGATTAGAGAAAAAAAATTTAAATGAAATAAAAGCATCCAATAGTTGAAAAAATTGGATAAAATCCAAACCTTTTAATGACCTTTCAGTTCCTTTCGGTCATGCTTTTTTTCTGGGTTAAAACTCATTCTGAGGCTTAGGAAGGTCTGTTTGCTTCAGCAAAACTAATAATTCCCCTTCTCATTTGTAGCCCAGCCTTCAAGTGAGCCAAGTGAAGTTACATAATTTGGTCAAGCCCAGTGTAGACTACGTCTGCCAGCTGAAATTCCCTTCTGGCAATTATCCTCCATGTGTGGATGATAATCGAGATCTGCTTGTCCACTGGTGTCATGGTGCCCCGGGGGTCATCTACATGCTCACTCAGGCCTATAAGGTACTGTGTATTTTTTCAATTTTAAATTAATTAGAAAACATAAAAAACTTTTATAATTTAATATTAGCCTTATCATAATCCATAAAGGAGCAATAAATAAATCTCTTGTCAGACCTAAGAACACTTTGCTAAATGGACTATAATTCATTCTCACAGTCTGTGTGTACCATATGAAGCAGACATTATTTCACAGAATGAGAGACTGCTTCACTGACAGGTAGAATAGCCAAGATTATAGTGTCAGTGGCAGAGCCAAGATAAGTATCCCAACAGCTCAATTAAAAACAGGAAAAACCCTCATGCATTGCTGGTGGGAATGTAAGATGGTACAACTGTTGTGGAAAATAGTTTGGTATTTCCTCAAAAAAATTAAACATATAATTATGTTTATTTATGATCCAGCAATTCCACTCCTAGGTATTTATCCAAAAGAACTGAAAACAAGGATTCAAATACATACTGTATACCAGTGTTCATAGCAGCATTATTTACAGTAGCCAAAAGGTAAAAATAATCTAATTGTCCATCAAGAAATGAATTGATAGAGAAAATGTGGTATATACATGCAATGGAATATTATTCAGCCATAAAAAAGAATGAAATTCTAATACACACACCAATGTGGACAAACCTTGAAAACATTATGCTAAGGGAAATAAGCCAGTCACAGAAGGCCTAATACTATATAATTCCACTTATATGATGTGTGGTTAATATGAGATATTTAAAATAGGCAAATAGGTAGGTAGGTAGATAGATAGATAAGCAGCAAGCAAATATAGAGAGACAGAAAGTAGGACAGAGATTACCGGAGTCTGGGGGAAAGAGAAGATAGAGAGTTATTGCTTAGTGGGTACAGAGTTTCTGTTTGGGATGATGAAAAAATCTTGCAAATAGTGATGATGGTTTACAACATTGTAATGTAATTAGTACCACTGAATTGTATGGTTAAAATTGTAACTTTATATTACATATATTTTGCCACAATAAAAAAAATATAAATATTACTCCTAAAAAGCATGCTGTAACAGAGCTGCAATCAAGGAATAAAAGGTTTTTAATTGAGGAAAAAAAACAAAACAGAAATAAACTAAGAGATATCTGTGGTGCCACATCAACAAATTACAAATCTACAGACTGTAAATGGGCACTGGCAGATCATAACTAAATAAGCTTTTGGTAAAATAAATTCTGCATTTCAGAAGGTAGATATAAAGGCAAAACTTTTAAAACTGCCTTATTCTATTTTTGGGCACCTAGGATGCAATGAGATAGTAAACATATTTACTCAGAATATTTTTCAAGTCTTTGATCAAGATATGGGAGGCAGCAAAAAATTGTAAAGGTCTATCTGTTTTTCTGAAGTTCTAGTGTTTTATAGTCAATTTGCATATTAATAAATAACAGTTTTTTCTCCAGTATGTAAAGAAACTTTCTAATGGTGAAGGGTATCATAGTTACCAAAGAATGTAGCATATGTTCCTCAGGAAGTCACTGATGATAACAGTAAGCTGCTTCATCAACAATACCCACATACACAAACCAAACATGCACATAAAACTTAAGACTGTACATACAAGGTCATGCCCAATTATTAAAAAAAAAAAAAAAAAAGCAAAACTAGCCAGGCACAGGATACGTGCCTATAGTCCCAGCTACTAGCAAGGCTGAGGTGGGAGGATCACTTGAATCCAGGAGTTTGAGACCAGCCTGGGCAACATAGTGAAACCTCATCTCTAAGAAAGAATAATAATAATAATAATAAATAAAAAAGCAAAGCTAGTCAATTTTAGTAATTTGTCATTACCAATATAACACATCTCTCTGTCACTAAATCTCTTTTTCCCTTTCTTGTCAAGCCACCTCACTCTCTTCCCATCCCCTATCACTCCTGCTTACCTATCGGGAAGGAATGTCAATAGAACTTTCTTTTATTTCCCATGTAATGAAATTCATGTCCTTTGACGCTGTAGGTGTTCAAAGAGGAAAAGTATCTCTTGGATGCCTATCAGTGTGCTGATGTGATCTGGCAGTATGGGCTGCTGAAGAAGGGATATGGGCTGTGCCACGGCGCTGCGGGGAACGCCTACGCCTTCCTGAACCTCTACAACCTCACGCAGGACATGAAGTACCTGTATAGGGCCTGTAAGGTACGCGTCAGAACCGCCCAATAATAGATGGCAGCTCGTCCTTTCAGTTAAATTAGCATTATTTTAAAGGGACGTAATTCTTCTTAATAGCATTTATGGGAGAAAAAAAGAAAGATGTAGGGGGATTTTGTTCCTTTCTTCTTTAAAAGCTTTGGAGATATGTGGCTCAGACAGCTCATTAAATTCCTCCCGTGCAGCATATTCTCTTTCAGACCATCCATTTCTCTACATTAATCCCTTTTCTCTGACTTGAAGGTAGTTTTTGACTTTTCAGAGTAATCTGTAGAGACAACCTCTGTTAACTTTTGGGAGTCTCCAAAAGAAATCACTATAATAATTTAACTTGACCTCATTTTCAGTTTGCTGAATGGTGCTTAGAGTATGGAGAACACGGATGCAGAACACCGGATACCCCCTTCTCCCTCTTTGAAGGTATTTTTCACACTTATTTGCCTTATAATATCAGCATCTACTTCTCTGCTTGATAATTAATGTATTTGAATTTGAGTTTTATCAAAAAATTAAAATTAAATTTATAGTCATTTCTTAAGCTACTTATTTCCTAACATGACAAATCAATATTAAAAATCATTATTAGCACACATACCTGATACTGATGGTCATAATAGTGACTCCCGTTTATGAGGCCGGGCACATGCTAGGCATTTTGCCGATGCTGTCATAAATCATTTCAGCAGTAACATACAGGCATTACTACCCTCATGTAACAGATGAAGAAACCGAGGCTCAGGCAGGTAAGTGGCCCACGGTGCCATGGTGAAGGAGCTCACATATGGTAAATGGCAGGGCTATGACTTGAATTTGTGTGGCTCCATTCTCTCTCCCATCTTGCACATTGAAATAAAGGCTGAGCACCTCACTAGTGATCTCCTCTAATGGTGAACTGCAATGTATTAAATACAGACAGATTCCCCTTCATTTAAATCATTGCCATTAATATTGTAGCGTTGATAATAAAAAAAATGGAGCCATCCTATAAAATGGAGTCATTTGGTATGATAACTTTTGCTTCTTTCTCTTTCTTCAGGAATGGCTGGAACAATATATTTCCTGGCTGACCTGCTAGTCCCCACAAAAGCCAGATTCCCTGCATTTGAACTATAAAAAGAAAGCATGCCCCCTGCAACTCACTGCATGACCCTTTCTGTATACTCAAACCTGGGCTAACTGCTTTGGTTGCTTTTCAAGGAAACAGAGTCAAACTGTGTACTTGATTTAGTTAATATTTTTTTTCAGAATCTGTCTTTAGTTCAGTTCCTTTTCTTTATCATTTACTTAAAAGCATCCAAAGAAGTCTTTTAACTTCAATTTCTTCCTGAATGGTGGGTGATATGTACAGTATTTTGAGGTCATATGCGTATATTTCAGAAATTTGAAGAAATCTTATTTAAGTTTATGCCTATAACTATCTGTTACTGTTCTAAAAATGTTTAAAAGAAACTATAGATAAAGAAAGATAAATATGACTATTGTTGGAAATTTTCCTCCACCTCTTCTCTTTAATATATTTCCTCCAACAGGAGGGCAGATAGTTTTACAACTTGCTTTTCTCTAGGTGGTCGATTATGAAAGGGGACAAAATACAACTGTGTGCTTCCAAGGGAAAAATTCGAAGAGTTACAAACTGGACTTGGGACCTAAATGCCATTTTTTAAATTCATGATGCCTGTGTGGACTAGAGGTGATCATACTTTCAAATATGCCTATTTTTGTCAGTAAGGCATCTAGGCTTCCTAAGCCAACATTATAATCAAAAACTTCTAAAACATGGTGGTGGTTGTGAAAATTTTTATTTGAAGGTTACTTCAAGATAAGCTAACAATAACAGTTTATTGTTTTCTCTAAAATAATCTAGGTATTTTGGAACTATTTATTTAAATTTGTTTTTCTGTGTTCATAAAAAATCAGGAAGCTAATTTTCTATGTGTGGATATGCTCTGAGCTAGGATTCCAGTCCACTCTGACTGACCTTCTAAACTTCAACTTGTGTTTTACTTACTTTTGCAGTGACTATGCTATAGTGCTGGCTGTTTGGTATAAGCCATTTTCCAAATGTATTTTCCTTCCTATCAATTTTTCTGAGCATTGGTCTTTTCACTAAATAGTACAGCATTCTATTTCTGTTCAAAAAAGGGGACAAGAAGGAGGATGCCATGTAACCAATAGCTTGAACAAGAACACCAAGCTCCTGATAGAAATGCTGTTTACTTAAGAGGTATTATCCAGAGTTCATGCTTAGAACAAATGGATCTGTGCATATCCTAGGCTTAACAATTCCTTAATTTCTGAGACCACAGAATCGAGTTTTATATTATAGATGAAGACTCCCTGGTGCTTCACATTCTGTACAAATGTTTTGACTCATCAGCTCCTACTCCTACTCCTTCCATTGCTGCTCTTCCCAGTCTTGTTTTATCTCTTTTTGACTAATTTTGAAAAATTTTCAGCTTCAAAATAACAGGGTCTAAGAATTTTTAATGTGCCTATTTCGCAGCCCTCTTGGTCACAAAAACATTCTATTTTTATTAGAACTTTGAACCAAATTCCCACTGAGTGTGTGCTGTTTCCTGCAGCGAGCAGTCCTCTAGTATTTTCTATTTAGCACCAAAATAGGTAATATTACTGGAAATCATCTGACCCTTTAAAGGCCACTGACCACAGGCTCTAAAAAGCAGCCCACTGCACAATTCCTAGGATTAGCTTACTCCTTCTGCGACTTGTGTAAGTCGGGGACTACATTGTGCCTCTCGGATTCCTGTAGTGCTGCTGGTAAGCTACGTGCAAGCTCTGCCTTTCTTGTGAAAGTTTCCAATCAGCGATGTCAGCATTTACAGTAAGAAGCAAAAGTAGCACACAGCAAAGCTCATTTGCCTTTGTCTGGGTGTCCATCTTAAAAGAATGAAGCTCATTTGGTTTAGTTAAATGTCTTACTATACTGTGCCTCTCCTTTTAGCTACTATAGTTACCAACTGAGGGGGAAAGAACAAAACACACTCTCTGAGCCAGAGGAGATGTCATCACAGTGTTCCACTAAGCATCTTGATTAGTTTAACCTCAGGCAGACTTCAAGGCTGGGAGAAGAACGTTTCGAATAAGATTCTTACTAATCATCCCTTAACAAATTCATCAACACAAACATAATTCAAAGATTTTTTTTTTTAGCTTTTTAAGATTTATTAAACTATCCACTCCCACTATTTCACTTGACCAGGAAAAAAAAAAAAAAGATTTATCAAACTAGAAAGATTTCATATTTGTGTCATTATTTGTTTTATTTATGCTTAAGAGCTAAAAAAGTTTCGATAGGATTTTAAACTCACGCAAAGCTACAATGCTGAGACCAGTCCCCCAACTGGTGACTGAAAGCACCTTTTGCACTAGCTGTCTTAGTTTTGAAAGGAAGCGGTATCACTGTTTCAGTTCTATTTCTGTTACATTTTTCCCTCAGGTATTTTTCTGCCTAGTAAAAAACCCTCCCAAAAGTGGCTTCCTAGAAAATTCAATAGGATCTCTTATCTCCACACACAGACTAGGTCATAAAACCTTCAAAGGTTCTCAAGCAGTGTTCATTTATCCCGTCATATGTTTCTGTTTGTGTAGTTCTGAGAAATTGCAAGTAGTTAACTTCAACATGTAGAAAGTGTTAACATTATCATGACCATTTCCATAGATCCCACTGGATGTTGGTCTTATCTGAGTTGTTAGTCTTTAATCCTCAGAGTCATTGGCTCCCTTTTCATCTTTGATGTCAGTTCCAATTATTTGGCATCAAATGCCTTCACGGTAGATAGAGTTTTAGGTAAAAGTGGATCTAAGGCCATTTTCTCTCAAATTTCCCTAAATAACTGAATTAAGGGGAATATTCTGCTTTTATGTCCTCAGGTTAATTTGTGTATGATCCTTATGATGATGCCCTGCCTTTTACTAGCATATTTTGAAATATAAAATGTGAAGAGAATATTGACTCCTATACTCCTTTGGTTACTAGAACTCATCTGTAGTCCTTTATCACTCATACTGGATTCTCATTCCATTTCTGCTTACCTTAAGTAAGTCAGAGCACCCCACTTCTGTATTTTCTGTACTATTGAGCCATAGAAGAACTGGTTCTCTCTTAGAGATATAAAACAAAGTATATAGGATATTCAGAAAACCCACCCCAATGTTATATTATCTTTTGATGGAAGGGCTGGGATCATAGGTATTTCTGTTTTGTAAAGGGATTTGGCTTGCTGGTTCTCAATAAAATTTTATTAAGACTATATATTGTCATGTGCTTTTTGTTTGCTTAAGTTTAAACTTGAGAAATACTTTAACTGCAAATGATGACGTTTTCTTTATATACTAATTCCCTAGGGTTTGTTCCTTTTTCTTCATTGTTGAGTCAAGCAAGATTTGTACTACTGTCTGAAAATAGAGATTTGTAAGAGGAAAATATTTTTTAAGTCTGATTGTTATAGAAATAGGAGGAATCTACTGGGCTTCAAGCAGAGCAGTGTGTTGACCATCTCATACATTGGAGAATCTACCCTGGGGTTAATAACTAAAGGCCTGATTCTAAAAGTTGATTTCCCTGATGACCAATTCCAAAAGGAACTTTGAATAAAGGGGATTAAATGAGGCATAATTATAAAATATATATTAAGAGGTTAGAAAGGAGTTCTGCTGAATCACTTGGGATGACTTTGTACCACTACTTTTCATGGCACAGCTAGTTAGTGTCACTTAGCACTACAGAGATTTGCCAAATTATAAAATACTTGTTTTCATCTCTACATTTTGTCCTCTGGTACATGTGATTAAAATGCCCTTCATATGCCTAGTCTACTGATTGAATGACTCATAATACTGAAGATAAATGCAGAGTTATTTTTATTTCTCTCATTTGAATAAGTAAAGGTATGTATGGTGATATCAAGTCTTTAGATGCAGGCAATGAGGCATGGAGGGGACAGTGCCTTGCAGAGGTCACACAGAGACTCCAAAATGATGCTTGCAGAAGTCTCACTGACTCTCCACAAGATTAATCTCAATTGATGAGGCCAGCGAACACTGTCCTCTAGTTTACTACTCCCTGGCTCATCTGCCCACCAGAGGAAAAATAATGACAAGCACATTAAATTGTGCTACAGTTGTAATCTCATGAACAAAGAAAACGAAGTAGTAATTTGTCTCTTGTGACTTACCCAGGGTAGTTTGATTTATTTTTTCCTAACTGCATCAGAAAAGACATTTGCCTCACTCCTTCTCCTTGTACTCTTTGAATAGAAGAGAATAATAATTTTTATGTCAATTCTTTTGCCCAGAATAGTTCCCGCAGTGGATTCAATGTCATTAAAAATCTCATGTAGTCTCTATTCTTATAAGCAGCACTTAAACTCAGAACAACCTACAAGTCAGTCCCCTGAAAATTTGCTTTCTCATTCTGTTTCCCATCCAAACTCTCACCTTCCTCCTAAAGCTGTGGGTCAATTAGCAAAGCAAGAGAACACTGGCAAACATGTTGGCTTCGTTGATCCCATTATGTAAACGTTCCAAACACTATTTTCGAGAAACCCTGTGCTAGTGGATCCTCAGGGACTTGTTCGACAATTTCATGAGAAATAAGAAAAAGCAAACACAATAAGCCAAGAGATGAAATAATAAGGATCAAGAAATGGATCTTGGCTGGGCGGTGGCGCACTCCTGTAATCCTAGCACTCCGAGGCGGGCAGATTGTTTGAGCTCAGGAGTTCGAAACCAGCCTGAGCAAGAGCGAGACCCCATCTCTACTAGAAATAGAAAGAAATTACTCGAACAACTAAAAATATATAGAAAAAATAAGCCGGGCATGGTGGCACATGCCTGTGGTCCCAGCTACTTGGGAGTCTAAGGTAGAAGGATTGCTTGAGCCCAGGAGTTTGAGGTTGCTGTGAGCTAGGCTGACGCCATGGCACTCTAGCCCGGGCAACACAGTGAGACTCTGTCTCAAAAAAAAAAAAAAAAAAAAAATGGATCTTAGCAGGTCTGCTGCTCATAGTCAACCAATTTAATTTCGCATTTCTACATTATGTTAACTTTTAATCCACATGCAAATTACCACCATGGCAACATTAAATATGCAACTAATGTTCTACTACTCTACAAATACATGTTAGAGAAAGCATTTGTGAAGCACTTATTATGTAGGAAAAAGCAAGACTCTTGATAAATCGGTTTATAAAGCAGTGTCACAATTGCCTAATTTCTCTTCTCTGATGGAGCTGGGATATTAAGAAAGGCATTCATAGCTTGAAATATACTGCTGTAGCTCATTGTTAAATTTGATAGTTAATATTATTTTCTCAGGATTCAGCATTCAAAAATGAATATGCACCCTTTTACCTATATAATCTGAACCGCTGGCACTGTCAGCTTATGTGCTGTAGATATGTCATTTTATTAATAATGCCATTATCAATGCTTTAAAACCATTTATGCCCCAAATTTATTAAATGTGTTATGTTTATGTGCAAGGTACCTAGCTAAGGGTTCAGTGTGTATAAAATAGACATCCCTGCTCTGACAGCTCAGTCTGGTGAAGACGACAGGTGACTAGACAATCAATTACAAGGAAATGTATTCAAATATTCCTCTTACCCCTCCAACTACTCTTTCTCTTGTTCCATAAGTTTAATGTATGTTGGGTCTCTCATGCGGTCTGTCTATATTTGGAGATATTGCAGTTTAGTACTCTTGTAGGGAGAAGATAATTTAAAAGCCACTCAGCCAGCCCAGAGCACTCAAAGTTCCTTCATATAGACTACCTTTATGATGGGCAAGGAGGTCCAAAAGGATGGGAGCGAAATTTAAAGAGAAAAAAAAATCACTTGCCCCCAAAATTACTTCCACTCAGTTGGCTAACTTCTCAAAAACTCCCAGCATTACCATTCTTAATAATTTAGGTTAAATTCTTTTCCTTCAGGAATCCTCTGCTGAGATGCAAATATTTTAGAAGACATAGTTCATAGATCCTACTCTGTCATTGGCATCTTAATAATTGGTTCATGACCTATATATGTAGCAATTAACTCGAAGAACTTCAAACCATTGTGCTGCTACAATATGCTACTGATGGTACCTACTAGGATTAGAAAGATACGATGATTATCTGTTCACAAAGCACTGTTTAGATATGAGGATAAATATAAACAAGTACTTTCAATGTGATGTGGAACCAGAGCAGGGATGGGTTTTGATGAGTACTGGAAAGAGACAGATAGACATGTAGGAGAGTCAAGGAAATTTGTTAAAGAAACCTTGGAAGTCAGGGCTTCTCAACCATTAATGTGCATATGAATCCCCTGGGGATCTTGTTAAAGTGATTCTAAAATGCAGGTTGAGTAGGACTTGAGATTCTCCATTTCTTTCTTGCTCTCTTTTTCTTTTTTTTAAGGAAATGAGGTCTTTCTATATCACCCAGGCTGGTCATAAACTCCTGTGCTCAAGCAATCCTTGCACCTCAGCCCTCAGTCTCCTGTGTAGCTGGGACTACAGGCATAGGCCACCACAACTGGTTCATTTTTTAAAAAAATTTTTAGAGATGGGGGCTCAGACTGGTGTCAAACTCCTGGCTTCAAGTCATCCTCCCATCTCAGCTTCCAGAGTAGCTGGGATTGCAGGGATAAGCAACCACTCCTGGCTCAAAGTCTGCATTTCTAAGAAGTTACCCAATGGCTTCACTGCTGAATTCTACCATGCATTCAAAGAATAAATACCAATCCTACATAAACTATTCTAAAACATTGAGGTAATACTCCCAAAATCATTCTGTGAGGGCTGTATCACTCTGACACCAAAAACAGACAAAAACACAACAAAGAAAGAAAATTATAGGCCAATATCTCTGATGAACATAGATGCAAAAATCCTCAACCGAATGCTAGCCAAATGAATCCAACAACACATTAATAAGATTATTCATCATGATGAAGTGGGATTCATCCCAGGGATGCAAG